AAAAATGTGGGTAAGACTTTATTTGACAGCGTCATAAGACTGACATGATACTGTCATAAACATGACATAACTCCTGTTGGATGTCATCCAACTTTTAAAGCAACTTCTCATTAAAAGTGTCACTATTTACAGAATTACACTTAATGACAACAGTTAGACATTCATAAACACTCCTTCACGTTTATGCCAGTGTTATGTCAGTCTTATTATGCACACCCCATCAAATAAAGTGTTACCAAAATGGTAATATATTGAAATGTAATTAGTTTCACCAGTAAAGTGTGTTGTAATGGATCCTTCTGTGTTCTGGTACCTGATGTGTGTCCAGTACTGTAGAGTGTATGAAGCATGTAATGTACAAAGAGACAAAGCAGAATAAAAAAGACATTAAGTAACTAAAAAGTGTACTTCTGTGGTGCACCTAAAAATGCCATCGCAGTATTTATTTTTATGATTTTGAAATATTTTCATGTATAATTTATTCTATTTTCTAAATTAAATTACATTTTATTTGCAGTTTGTTATGTTTATCTGCCTGTATTTGTCATTTCTGACTTTTGCTGACTTTTGTTTATTTACTCTTCAGATTGTGTGTCATCACTGTTACAGCAGTCCTGATATGGCAAGCCGTTTTAACATAAATTCGGTTTTATCTGACTATCCGTAATTACATTCCAGCTATCTAAAAATGCATTTTGACTACACAAAACTACATTTTGACTATCTGGAATGGTAATTTAAGATATCTCTACTTACATTCTGACTAGTAAGAATAATAGTTCAAGATATTTTCAATTACATTTTGACTAGTCAAAATGCCTTTCAAGACGTCTCAAATGACGTCACTGGATCTGTCATTTGACGGGACACATATCCGTAATTACGATTTAAGATATCTTCAACGCAATTAGTCAAAATTACAATTTTAGATATCTGAATTAAGAATGACGTGGAAGCCCCTTTGTGGTGTCCAAACAGTTGCCTGCAGAATTTCATGTTTCCTGCACAAAATTGTCAGTAAATGCCACAAATTAGAAAGAGCTCGACAATGTTGGAAATGCGGAGATAGCAAAACTTCATAAACTATAAGACTGCTTCTGATGTCTGCGAAGAATTTCCGGTATCACTTTATTTGAAGGGGTGTGCATAAGACTGACATGACACTGTCATAAACATGACATAACACCTGTTATGAACATTATGCCTTGGGCCGGCCCTGTGTTTGTGTGTGATGCTGTCAGACTCTTTCAGACCAGGTGAAGTGTTGTGAACGTGTTGCCATGGTGATGCAGCTGCTCTGGTGTTTTAATGAAGCTCAGATCCTGAAGGCCTCCATGTCTCCTAAAGAGAGCAACCCCCAGGGACGGACACGTCCCAGCATGCATCTCTGTGTCCGCTGGGAGCAGAGTGTGTGTGTGTGTGTGTGTGCTCAGTGGCCTGGAAGCTGAAGGGAAGCCTCCTCAGGAGGTCATATGTGTCCTACTTCAAGATCACAGCTGAGATCAGGCTCTGAGGACCTGCTGGTGACGTAATCAGCGGGGGGTTTGGGGGTGTGGGGTGATGACACGCACACACACACACACACTGTCAGGCCAGTAAGAAAACACCATCAGCTGCTTGGTTTTCTTCACTGTCAAACCTCGATTGTGAGGACTCCATTACCCATAAGCCTCGGGGTCTGGCTGTCCAGCTCACCTGACCCTTCAGAAGACACCTGCAGGTGGTCACATGACCACACAGTGTGTGTGCTAGTCCTTAGGAATGCTAATGAGGGTGAGATGCTCGTTTCTGTGGCAACCAAATTCAGAGGAGGCAGGAGCTGCATCCCTGTTGCCACGGAAACCTGTGCTGATTCTGGCAGCTGAGGAGCCGAAGAGCAGGCGGGTCTGATTACTGCTGCTTCTTCTGCGTCTCACACTGCGCCTCATTCCCAGATCAATGGTCCGGAACATTCCCCACTTCCTGTTCCGGGTTCCAAACTAAATATTTAATTCACAAGGTAAATGTTTAGCTTACGAACTACTTAGCTTTCAAATTAAATATTTACTTACAAGCTAAGTATTTAGCTAGCAACCTAAATATGTACTGGTAGTTGGAATTGCTAAATATTTAGATCAAAGTTAAAAATGTCTTTTGTTAGCCAAATATTTTGTTCTAAGCTCATTATTTAATTTGCTAACTACATTTCTATGTTGCTAACTGTGAATTTTACTGTGTAAAATTATGTTGCTAGCTAAATAGCTTGCAAATAAATAGTTTGTAAACTAAACATTTAGCTTGTGAATTAAATATTTAGTTTGGGACCCTGACATTTATAAAACTATGAATAACATGGTAAAAATATGACTTTGAAATATGAATTCCCGCATTTTTCCTCTGACAGGATTAAAAAAAACAAAATATAACTGTTCATTTTTTACTGTGTAACTTTACAAACCCAAAAAAGGAAATAAATTCTAAGCATTGGTGAATAAATAAACGCTAACTAAAAATATCAGTGGCCCAAATGTTCCACCCTTGAGATTGAACTCCTGGTTCTGGATTGGTCCAGTCTGTTACCAGAACCAGACGGTTCGGGTCCAGAACCCAGAATTATCTCTGGTTTCCTAAATCAAGACGCGCGAATAACGACGTCGCGCGCAAGCTCTCTTCCGTTCGGGAGCGCGCCTGGCTCGTCTCGGGAGCGCGCGCCGCAGATCCAAGGACAGAGCGGCGGGCGCGCGAGCATCAGGTCACCTGAAAGTCCTCCGTCATCACGAGCCCGAACAGAACCGGGAGAACCGGAGCCGAACCGGGTTCGGAGCCGATGGATCGGCGCTGAAGCAACAGGACGAGGCGGAACCGAGTCCGCGGGTCCGGTTCTGAGCACGGACTGACACAAAACCCAACCCAGTCACCTTTGCTGTCACTGAACCGACCGGCACCAGAACCTCTGAGCCGGAACCGAGCCGGAGGGTGACCCGTCCGATCCAGGCCGGGAGGAGAACCGAGCCGACGGTGTTCCAACAGGAAAGCGACAGAACCAGAACCGCGACCTGGACCTGTAGCTGCAGCTGGATCAGTGAGTGTCTCGTTTTCTGTTCAGGGGTTCTGGTTCTGCTCAGCAGCAGTGATGTGGTACCGGTTCTGATCAGGTCCAGAGGTCTCGCTGGGTCTGAGGGTCCCGGACCCGCCGGAGCCCTGCGGGCTCACGGTTCGGTCCGATCGGGCTTCATCCTCTGTTTGGATCTGGATCACATGTGTTCCGGTTCTGATGGGTTTATTTCTGATATTTGCTTTAAATATTTGAAATAAAAATCTTTTACTTCAGATTTCTGTGAATTAAATGAATGAGGATGATCATTTTCAGAGTCAGAAGTTTTAAGGATCTTTTTATATTTATATTAAAATATTAAAGTCTAGAAAAATGTGAAAACAAAGTTGTGCAGAAATGTTGAAATGATTTATAAACTTTAGTAAAATATGAAGCAGATTTGGAAAAATCCTAATTTATCTGTCATCAAACTTGAGGCTGAAGTTTTGAAAGTTTATCATAATTTTCTTCAAATTTGAAGTTTTAAAACTTCAGAAGGAATTTTGTCAGAGCAGAAATAAAATATTTTTATGATTAAAAACTTAAAATAATCCAAAGAACATGTTCAGATTATTCATTAATCAAACAGCAAACATGGGGAATTAATATAATCCGATTAAAACTGTTGGTGAAAATCATAAAATAATCATTTTAGTTCAGATTGTTTCCTGATTTAAACACGTTTAAAGGGTTTTAAATCGGTTCTGGTTCTGGAGGGATTAAATGTTCATAAACATGAAGAGTTGCAGCCAGTTTTTATAAGCAGCAGCTGAAATATTAGTTACTTAGAAAGACAAGCATTCATATGTAAGGTCAGATATATTATTTTATGCCTTAGTGTGGTTGTCCTCAGAGTGCTAATGTTGTTAGCAGCTAGCTCAGTGCCGAGTCACAGATAGACAATATAACGTTTATTCAGTGGGACTTTCATGCATACCGTGACAGTGAGCTGTTACTGTTCCCCCACATGCTTCGTGTCCAGACACGAACTCGGGGTTTCTGTAGATCGGAGCGAATCGTTGATCTACATTGGACCTGAATCCAGCAGCGACTCAACATTAACGTACAACTCCAGCATGAATTTGGGTTTACAGAAGCTAAATAAATTATTTACCAGGAGATTCAAGCTCATAGAAATAACATGGTTAGCTCGTTGTTAGCGATAGCATCGTTATCATCTAATTACTTAAAATAGCACAACTCGCTACTCACCGGCAGAAACAAGTCGACAGCCATCTAAAGCTGCTTTTGATCCGAAATGCTTGACTCAACCTGAAACTAAATGATTGATTCTCCAGGCTTTTGAAAGCTTTCTTCTGGCTCGTAGTATAACATGAGGTCTGCAGCTCCAGGTAGTTAGTTACGTGGATCGCCTCGATGTGGGTAAATCCTCAAGATTATAAGAGAAATCTTTTTTTACCGAGATAATATGGATCATATCCTAAATATATGCATATTTTCTCGAGATGCATTGGCTGTTCGTTGTGATCAACTTTGTTTTGAACTGGAGAAATCCCCTTCCGGACCTTCATCTGAATTTCGCGCGTCATCCGGGTCACGTGACTGAAACCCAGCAATTGGTTACCTCAAGAGGTGCTGCTCATCCCACATAGTCGGCGGGATAAAACCGAGAGACCGCAGGCGCAAATCGTGACACCGCACCCACTAATGGCACTTCCGGTGGCAGGTGTCATTAGGCGCCACAAGGGCCACTGTTTTCGGGAGTAGCTGCCAGTGTTGCCACTGACTTCAGCTGACCTCGGCACCTGTACTGGCACTTCCGCTGACACCTGCCGTTATTGGTCACAAGTGCCACTGTTTTCGGGGCTAGCGGTCAGTGTTGTCACTGACTTCGGCACCTTCCAGGGTTGCCGCGACCTCATACTGGCACCTCCCACGCCTCACGGACCGCTCTCGCCTATTTTCGCTGACGAGATTTAAGGGCGGCCATCTTAGAGCGGTCGACCGCTCCACTCAGCGTTATACGTTGGACAGACACAATGACGTATTTGCGCAGTTAATCTTTCATAACACGCTGTTTCGTTACTGGAAACCTTATACAAACAGCTGCATTTATAAACAATTGTATTTTTTGAAGTATTTTTTAATTGTATTATACATAGTTAAGCATATTTAAATATGCTTTGTGGGGAAAACAATAGAATAGGAATAGAATATTCTTTGGTGACAGCTTCTGTGTCAGATTTAATATGAATGAATTTATAATTAATGAAAATAATGGTGGATCTGTCACAAAGTATTGCATTTCCTCTTAAGTATTCTGTTCCCTTAAAAAAGCAAATATGCCCTGGTCTATTTTTTATACAGTCTCAAATTTCAGTTTCCAATAAACAGCCTCATTGAAAACATGTTGACAGTTGCCATAAGCTGTCACTTGTGCCACGGGCTTCTGGGTAAGGTGCCACTTGTGCCACCTTACCACTGGGTAAGGTGGCACAAGTG